GTCAACAGCATTGAACCCAGAGAACTAACATAACAACAACATATGGAAGTTCTGGGCGAATAGTTAAACCTCCAGACCACCTGAAACTGTGCAGTTAGAATTATAAAATGTATAATATTAATAATGATAAAAAGCTTGGAGTGAAAGTGTTCCATGATGGTGTAAGGTTCTGAAAGATTTAATACTGGGAAGAGCCTTCAACATCACTCACTGTGATGATGTCATGTGGACTTGTTGGGCAGAACAGCTTAGGCTTTTGGGAGAATAAGATCTAACATATATATCCTCCTCACAGGCTCTGTAATAATGTCTACCATACCAATCTGTAACTTGTTGCTAACTTTCAATAAACTACTTCTTGTTGAATACAAAGTTTCTTCTAATTAGCCCAGTAATTGGTTTGACTGTACCACATTGGACCAATTAGACCCTATAGACCTCTATTTTTCAAGATAATAGGTTAGGTTTGCTGCCACCATGATGAGGAGCAGCCTTGGTCAGCACGCCCAGCAACATGCTCAGTTGCGATTTAATTTGCACGTACAACACAATCTGCTGAGATTAATGCTAAGGAGACAGGGAAGCAGAAGGTATGAGTAACAATTTTGGGGAGAGACAGAGAGAGAGAGAGAAGGCTGAGATTAGTACATTTAGATGGAAGATGAAAGAAAGTAAGAAAGGAACAAAGAAGAGTGTCAGCTTCAACTGAAGAGGGGAGAAAAGTAACAACATAACCAAGAGGTGGACCTCAAACCCTGAGTACATTTTTTTCTGCTATATATCTGAATAAGCATGAATTTGTTCTTTAGTATTGTGACTGACAACCATCACTCTTTGTATTTGCATTACTGGAATGTAGCATGTGTCACCATATGATTCTCCTTTCTTCAAACATGGATTGAATATGTGTTCCTGCCAGACTGAAATACAGGCTTTAAACCAGTAAGTGATTTTACTTACATAAGACAAGTGAAAGAGCTATCAACATCAAATAACAATGAAATGTGCATTGTCTACACCCCATAATAAAGAGAATAACAAAAATATTTTACACTTGATCTCTAAGTGTGGATTATAACCAGAGATTTACTTGTTTTAATTAACCTTGGTCTGATCTTATGTTCTTACTAGAATGACCCAAAACTTGTCAGCCATTGGTTATGGGACTGACTCTAGCTGTAAAGTCATTTGTTGCGGTCTTGTGAAAAATAGGTTGTACCATGCTGATCAACTCAGTGTTAAGCAATGTTTCATTTGACTCATGAGCCCAATTGTAGAATGGCGGTCTCTGCTGCATTTGTAAGAGGAAGACAGTAGGCTGAGAAGGTACATGATTTGCTGGTCACTGTTTTCTCTGGCCAGCAGTGCTTTTCATTTCAACTCACCTCTTTCAATGCTGTTCCAAACAGTCAGCCTCCAGAAGTTGTGGTCCCCATTATCAGTGTTAATGTCCACCAACTTCATATTTTAGTTGCAGGTATGGACACCTAGATGCAGGTGATAACATGGCTAGTTCTCCATACAAAGGTCTTTGGTTATATTGCCATCATGTATCCAGTGAACTTGGTTGAGTCAATATACATGTCGGTGGCTTTGCAATGAGTGGATGCCGACAGAATTTGCACACTTAAGGACCTCTGTGTCGGTAACCACTTCCGGCCAATAAATGCTGTGAATATGTTTGAGACAGTGAAGGTGGAAATTGTGTCGCCTTTTTTCTTACCTAGTAAATGTTGTCCATGTCTTAACATTGTAGCGGAGTGCGCTGAGGAGGCAGGTTTAGTACACTCAAATTTGATGTTCTCAGTCAGATTGTTGTTGATCCACATAACATAGCTTTTGTGATGCATGTTTTTGATTTTAACATTAAGTGGCTGCTTGCATGCAGTTGTGGAGCTTAGGCATCCACAACTTCTAGTGTCACAATGTCAATGCTGCTAATGGTAGCAAGGCACAACATTTGTCTTCCTGGATGCTGGTGGTCAAACCAAATTCTGTATCGGTGTGAAATAATCTATACATTTGTCTGTCAAGTTCCACCTCATAAGTGTTGATAAGTGTGAGGTCATCCATTTTGGCAGGAATAAAAGCAAAATGGACTATGTTTTAAATGGTAAAAAATTACAGCACGCTGCTGTGCAGAGGGACTTGGGTGTCCTTGTGCATGAATCGCTACAAGTAGGATTGCAGGTACAGCAGGTAATTAAAAGGGCAAATGGAATTTTGTCTGTCATTGCTAGAGGGATGGAGTTTAAAAACAGGGAGGCTATGCTGCAGCTGAATAGGGTCCTGGTGAGGCCACACCTGGAATACTGTGTGCAGTTTTGGTCTCCTTACTTGAGAATGGATATACTAGCACTGGAGGGGGTGCAGAGGAGATTCACTCAGTTGATTCCAGAGTTGAGAGAGTTGGATTATGAGGAGAGACTGAGTAGGCTGGGATTATACTCATTGGAATTCAGAAGAATGAGGGGAGATCTTATAGAAACATAAAAGATTATGAAGGGAATAGATAAGGTGGAGGCAGGGAGGTTGTTTCCGCTAGCAGGTGAAACTAGGACTAGGGGGCATAGCCTCAAAATAAAGGGAAGCAGAGGTAGGACTGAGGTCAGGAGGAACTTCTTCACCCAAAGGTTTGTGAATCTGTGAAATTCTCTGCCCAGTGAAGCGGTTGAAGCTACCTCGCTGAATGTTTTTAAGGCAAGGCTAGATAAAGTTTTGAACAGTAAAAGAATTAAGGGTTATGGTGTACAGGCGGGTAAGTGGAGCTGAGTCTCAAAAAGATCAGCCATGATCTTATTGAATGGAGGGGCAGATAGCCTACTCCAGCTCCTAGTTCTTATGTTCTTATAACATTCAAGGATATGGACCTAGTGGGGAGTTAGACTAGTGTAGGCAGTAATAAAGTTTTGGAGGTACGGACTTGATAGGCTGAAGGGCCTCTTTTAAACTATATGATGCTATGATCCTATGATCACAGTTGTCTTCCAGACATTATCAACCAGCTGCAAGTCATCTCTCAATCCTGTGCTCATGATCCTGACAATTGATTCCTGACTTTCCAATTGAAGGTTTCGCATCTTTCTATCTTTTCATGTCTTTTTGGGTTTTGTTTTGTTTAACTAATAAGATGAATTCTATCCATATGTAGAGGAACTCTGAGCTCCAGACACTCATTGAAGCAGATGGACCATTGTGGTTCACCACTTTACTAGTTGGGAGCTACTAAGTTTGGCAGTGCTGACTGGTGAGACAGACCGGTTGTTCCACCATTGGAGATGCCCAGAATACTTATTCTCTACACCAGTTAAGTTTGGGGTATCTCTGTAACTGCTGACTCCTGTGTTGTCTTAAAGGTTTTCAGCAAAACTAGTGTTCTCCACAGGTGCAAACATGGATAAAATTCATGGTGACCTTGAGCTTCCCAAACATTGGGTTTCCTTCTCAATCTTGCTGGATGAGTCCAAAGGACTTCAAAACAGTTGTTTGTAGGAGTTGCTGGAAATATTACATACTTAGACATTGGTCCACTTTTGGTCTCCATTCTAGAATCATTTCACTTTTCATCTCCAGTACAGGAGTTTTGTTATGATTTAATTTCACACTCTCCAACTTACCTGAGGTAAGAACAAAACAATGGAACAGTTTGCCCATAGCTTGGAATTTGGTTCATGAATTCCAGGGAATGTCCACAAGGCTATAACCCTTGACATTGGATATCTGGGGCTAATCCTTCTTTGAGTTCCATTGGAGCTCTCACCTGGGTTCATGAGGGACCCAGTTTCTGTGCATTGCTAAAAGAGGGATTTATATACATTTAGCTACCTTTTTAACACTGCTACTGTCAGGGGTGTAGGTTGAAAATGAGAATCAAACTAGGACACTGAAATGGATAGCATGCACACACTAGAAACTGTAAAAGAGGATTCAATTTAAATATAGATTGTATTTTGTTGAAGCTCTGCAAAATCAAATAAACATTTGCTGGCTACAACTTGTATTTACACAAGATCAATTGCCTCATATGATATGAGTGATCAAACTTGAATTTCATCTTGCTGCACTGAGCAGCCTTGGACAGAATCTTATAGGTCCCTGAATGGCATAGCTATGCTGTGAAATCTGGGAGAATCGCTTGAGAACCTTGATGTTGGGAGCAAGCTAGTTGCATTTTCCGACAGAGTTCCTGATGTCAAAATGAGTTACTCACTAAGAAGCAGTAAGAAGTCTATTAACAGAGTTTATTGCTTGGTATCACCTATATTAACTGCAAAACTTGCCTCGTTAACATGTGTCTTCCTGTTGTACCCTGTGATGGATAGAAACTAGATGTCGAGAGCTCCAGATATGAAAGTCAGAGTGGGTACTAGCAATTCTAGATTGCTGCTAGCTTCTCAAGTTTACTACCTTGGATACGCAGCATCGACCTTTCAGGGCACAGTCCAGGACCATAAGGCCATAAGAAATAAAAACGGGAGTAGGTTGTTTGGCCCCTTGAGTTTGCTCCACCATTTGATAGGATTATGGCTAATCCTACATTCCTCATGTCCATTTTCCTGCATTTTCCCCATAGCCCTTCATTCTCCTACTGATCAAGATTCTACCTGTTTATCTATGTTGCCAAAGAATAAATTCAATAATTAAATAGCATTATTTTTGTCATTCTACCAGAATTTTGATAGATCAGTTGGAAATACAATGTAAGCAGTTATTATAACATTGTAATTACATTTTGATAAATACAATGTTAAGAAAATGTAGGAAACAATTGCATGCTTATAGTAAATTTAATGTTATTTGGCATAATTTTGCTTATAATAGTCAAGCAAAATGATTAATAAAAATCTTTTGCAAGCTACAATGTAACTTTTTAAAACACAGTTCTTAGCATTTCTGAACTTTTGTGAAAAATCAAAAATTTTGAATGATTTTTATTCTTTTCATTGAAAGGTCACTGCTACTCTCAGAAACTTGGCAGATTTGCCTCATTCCCGATCTAGGTTCCTAAGCACTGGAGCACTATTGGAACTTTGTGTGGTACTGGAACAGCACCTAAATGATGAAGATGTCTGTACAAACGTAGCCAGAATATTCAGGTAAGAAAGTAAAAATGTTCAGTGAGCAATTGTTAGAACCTCCAAATAATCTGTTTCACAAATTATCTGAGACCTAATTTCATTTTCTTTTAACTGCACAGGACAGTGGCCATGCTGATATCTTCCAGTGAATTGGAATTAAGATGTCTAGATTAGAAACTGCACATTTTTTTTGAAGTTCCAAAGAACTCAAATATATATCAGGCACATTTAAAAGACCAAAGTATTCCATTTAATTCATATTCAAGTCAATTTCCAATGTTTTGATAGAAAAGCAATAAAGTATAGATGCTGGAAATCCAAAATAAACTCAGAAAGTGTTATAAACACTCGACAAATCTGACAGCATTTGTGGAGAGTAAAACAGAGCTAATAGGTTAGAAATTTGTTTTGAGTGTGCTACACAGACCTACTGCTGCATCCACTACACAGTGTAGCAGAAGTGTGTACATAGGTGTGCCCCTCACATACACTGGATGTCTTTGAATTAGTTCTACCCTGAATTCAAGCAGCCAAATGTGATGCTACAGTCCTCAAATTTGGAGCACACAGGCTTTGTGTACATATGTGTCCACCACTGCTCAATAGTCTGACCTGAGATTGCAAGGTGGGCCCTCGACTAACTTTCCTAAAAGGACCATGCACCAAAATATAAGGTAAAGTCATTCTTGTCAACTATTTCTATTGCAAAGTGGAATATTCTGGCATATAATGCTCGGTTTTTTCTGTTGATTTCCTCAGTTTGCTGCATCCTCTCAGGGAAGACAGAGAGATGCTCTCTGCCAAATTAGAACAATTCCTGCATTCTCCTTGACAGTGACAGGATCTGGCTTTCAGGCCAATGCACCCATCATCTCAGTGTGCATGTCTATCAGTGCTTTCCTCTGCATCGCCCATTGAGGTTCTCATCAAATCCCTCTGCAGCAGATCTCATTTGTAATCTCACCCAATACGTGGCAAACAAACCATTTTTATTTCTGGTCTACTTGCAGCCTACTGTTGTCTGTTAACTCACAATATGTTGATTCGAACCCTAAACTAAACTGTCTGTTCATTGTGTCTATATCAGGAGCTGAACTGGAGGCTACAAATGCAGGTCAAGTAATGGGACATCTTCATTAATACTGTGCAGTTGCTCTCTCTCTGCCTCCCACAGCTTCTGGGGGTGGGCAGGTGGCAATTCTTTAGTGCCTGAAAGTAGGAAATTGGAATATCTTCTGAGGGAACTGGGGCGTATCATGGGTAATAACAGGATGAGAGTGTGATGGGAGCTGACTGCTGAAAATATAAAACAGGAGTGCACTGTTGTCCTCAATGATCTCCACAGTTCTTGAAGTCAGGACCCAGTCACAGCTGGCCCTATGACACTGAGAGGCTCTGTAGAGCCTAGGAGAAGCAACCATCCTGCTCCTTTCTCGTTCTGCTCTGATCCTTTTTGTTTCTACTTTATCTTGCGAAAAGGAAGGTAGAATGTCAATGATTGTGTAGTATTATGTTTGGCTAACAAAGCTGCCTTGGCTGAATTCCTGGAAGTATATGATGGCAGCAAGACGTGAATGTGAGACTGAAAGCAGTTTGTGAGGGTTAGGTGCAGTATCTGGATGTTAGGTGAGGGTCCTGTAAGCCAGGTTCACTGCTGAATGATGGGTGTGGGGTGCATTGAGCAGGATGAGAAATTTACTGATAAGATGGGAAATATCATGAGGAGATTCATTTACTGCTCTTCACAACTCATGCGAGGTCACATTAGATTTCTTGTGCAGATTCTGAAGAAGGGTCCAGACCAGAAACGTCAGCTTTCCTGCTCTTCCGATGCTGCTTGGCCTGCTGTGTTCATCCAGCTCTACACCTTGTTATCTCAGTTTTCTTGTGGCAGTGTTTTCAGAAACAGGAATAGAACTCCCTGGTGACCTGCTACCATTCCGTTCTGACTGTAAGCCCTGGGAGTCTCCAGCAGATCTAAACACACTGCCGTGGAGCCATTGGATCTGTCCTTCTGCCCACCTCTACCATTAATGCCTTCAGCATTGCATCTATCACTCTGGAACATTCCTCCACTGATGTGATTTTTTTTTCTGATATTTCAATTTTGCAGCAATTTTCTTCAGTGTAGCTTTCCTTTCAAAAGTGACATCTGCCTTTAAGAAGGTACAGCCACCTGGTCCACATGATTTACAGGCAATGAAAACTGAACCCCACTCCAGTCCCCACTTTCCTCCGCAGACAATATTTATAAACAGAGAATGTGTAGGATTCACACAAGGCAATGCCACAATCATTAAATGAGATGGAAACATTTATCTCCATGTTGTCCGGCTAATGCTGAATTTGGGCATGTTGTGGCTTGACTCGGATGCCCAAATACAGGCCTATACAACTTCTAACCAATGTTTCAGGTCAATGACCTGACAAAAAATTAACTTTTTTTTTCTCTCTATAGACCTGACCTGAATATCTGCAGCATTTTCTGTTTTTATTGTAGCATGGATTGATTATTGTTAAAAAGACCAATCTTTATCTGTTAAGTGTGAAATGACAAATTTTAAATTGGATACTTTTCTGTAATTTGGAGTTATAATACTAAGGTTTGCATTTCTTTGCTTTTGGGCAACTTAAGAGCAGTATTGGTAGTTGACAGTAGAACTGCAATTATTCCTTTCTCTTGACATTTTTAAATGTTCTTCGGTTCTACGTTATACACGTGTAGATGACTCATATTGAAACTGGTATTTGTGTTTTCTTTTCTCTTGTAGGCTTAAGTGTACTTTAATCTGCTTTAGCTATTTTTAGTTGTTCAAGATAAATATTTTCTGTTACTTTACATTACATTTTCGTGACCTATAAGACAAGTAATCGGTACGTAATTCAGTTAAGTTTAAATTAAATAAGAATGATAAGATTTATATTGGAGCCAATCAACCTGATTAAATATCAACCTTTTATGTAAAAGGTAACTGTGATAATTGCTTTAGTCAGTCAGAAAAATCACGTGAGCCATTTCAAGGATAAATCTGGAAAGAAAAGTTTGTCCATACTGCTGCCTTTAACAAGTACAGATCTCTGATTTACATCATCAGATTAAGTCCTCATTTAACTCATTATTCTATGCTGTTTCTATCTGACACTTACTAAATTACTAAATAAATCTATAGCAATTCAACAATTTTCCTGAGTTCCTGAAACCCAGAAAGTAACCTTAATTAAGGGGCACTTTCATTTTAACACAGTAGTCAGCCTCACTGGTAAAATTGTTGCAGAAGATATTTCTTTACCATTATTCTGCTGTGCTAATACAAACGTTGTGGGCTGGAAGGAATGGAAATAAATCAACTGATGTCTCGCAACTTATGAGTCATTGATGTCCTGAAACAAATTGTGTTTTATATGTGTTAGAACTTTTGCTACTTCTCATGTGATTATTTGTTTTTCTTCATTTAATTGTATGTATAATTGTTGCTAAAGAGCTGTGATTAGGGAACATTAATCTTGTGCAAGCAGTGAAATATGATTGATATGATAGTGAATTGGGTTGAGTCCATTACCCACATCTGCAATACATTTCAGGGAGTTTCCCAGAACATGTAGGGCACCTTGTAGAGAATGATACCTCAGATAATTCATGAACACAAAAGCACCAGAGCAACAGGGATCACTGTTCCATTAGAGGCATTGAACACTTCACAGGACTTCCCTAACTCATCTAGGACTAGTCAGTCTGTGATGTATCTGACCAGTAGCACGTGAGATTTTGTCCCGCACTGGTGGTCTTCAATGAATGATTACAAATATCATCAATTCTCTGAAGATTGACAAACATCCTGTTTATCTTTGGCTGCATTTGCTGACACAATGCTTGCAATGAGCCACTTTAATTTGCACATGTACATTTAGAATCTTTAGATTCTCTCCAGTGCCCTTGGAGTTCCAAGAAGCTGATTCTTTTGGAACAGTTGCTTTGCAAGCACACATCACATTAGATCTCTTAATGCTCTTTTGGAACACTCTGAGCCAAACATTGTTCTACAGTCCTGCCACATCTAGTCATGATCAGTAGTGGACATTAAAACAAAGAGGATGATGCCATCCTCATTGATGGGAAGCAAAAAACATAGTTGTAAAAGATGAAGCTGAAGTATTTGTAACCATCTTCAGCCAGAAGTGCTCAGTGGATAACTAAATTTGGTCTCCACCTGAGGTGCCCACCATCTTGCTTGCCAATGTTCAATGAATTTAATTCACAACAGGTAATATCAAGAAATGGCTGGATGTTGCAAAGGCTAAGGGCCCTAACAATATTCTGGAAATAGTATGAAAATATGTACTCTAGAACTTGCCAGCATCCCAAGCCAAGCTGTTGAGGTGTGGCTACATCACTGGCATCTGCCCAATAATGTGGAAAATTTCCCAGGTACGGCCTGTACCCAGAAAGCAGAATAAACTCAACCCAGCTAATTACTGCCTGATAAGTTTACTCTTGATCATTGATAAAGTGATGGAAGGTGTCATCAACAGTGTTATCACGCAGCATCTGTTCAGCCAAAACCTACTTCCTGATCTCCAGTTTGGGTTCCACTCAGGCTACTCAGCTCCTGACTTATTAAGACCTAACTTTGAACATGGATAAAAGAGCTGAATTCCAGAGGTGAGATCAGAGCGATTGCCATTGACAACAAGATTACATTTGACAAAGTATGACATCAAGGAACCATTGTAAAACTCAAGTCAGTAGGAATCAGACATAAATTGCCAGTAAACAAAAAAAAACAAATAACTGGGGATGCTGGAAATCAGAAACAAAAACAGTAATTGCTTGGAAAACTCACCAAATCTGACAGCAGTAGTGGAGAGAAAGCAGATTTAATGTTTCAGGTCCAGTGACCCTTCTTCAGAAAAAGACCTGCTAAGTTTTCCCAGTAATTTCTACTTTTATTAAATCACTACTGGTCAGAATCAGACCCAGCACAAATGAATATGGTAATGGTTGTTGGTGGTCAGTCATCCCTGCTCCAAGACATTTCCGCAGGAGTTCCTCAAGTTAGTGTCCTAGGCCTAACAATTTCAGCTGTTTTATCAATGATCTACTTTTTATCACAAAATCACAAATGGCAATATTCACTGATGATTACACAATGTTCAGCACCATTCATGACTCCTCATAAACTGAAGTAGTCCATACCCAAATGCAGCAAGACCTGAACAATATCCAAGTTTGGACTGACAAGTGGCAAGTAACATTTGTACCACACAAGTGTGAGGCAATGACCATCTCCAACAAGACAGAATCTAACCATTTCATATTGACATTCAATGGCATTACCATCATTGAATCCCCCACTATCAACATTCTGGTGGGTGCCATTGGCCAGAAACTGAACTGGAATAGCAGTATAAATTTGGTGATTACAAGAGCAGGTGAGAGGCTAGAAATCCTTTAGCGAGTAACTCACTTCCTGACTCTTCAAAGACTATTGACCATCAAAAAGATGCAAGCTAGCAATGTGTTGGATACTTCCTACTTGCCAGGATGAGTGCATCTTCAAGAATTTTGGCCTGTCCAGGATAAAGCAGCCCACTTGATTGGCATCACGTTCACAAACATTCACTCTTTTCACAAGTGACACTCAGTAGCAGCAGCGTGTACCACGTACAAGATGCACAGCAGAAATTCATCAAAGGTCCTTAGACATCATCTTTCAAACCCAAAACCACTTCTATTTAGAAGGACAAGGGCAGATATACGTAGGAGCATCACCACCTGCAACTTCACCTCCAACCTACTTACCACCCTGACTTGGAAATATATCACCATTCCTTCAGTGTAGCTGGGTGAAAATCCTGAAGTTTCCTCCCTAACAGCATTGGGGTTGATCTATACCAGCTGAACTGCAGCAGTTCAAGAAAACCACTCATTACTGCATTCTCAAGGGCAGCTATGTGTAGACAGTAAATGGTGGCCTAGACAGCGATAATTACATCTCATGAATGAATCAAAATAAAGTAATTAATGGAAGGGGAGCAGTTGATGCCTGTATTTAACATAATTGTGTTTGATGGGTCTTATAATTCATTCATACAAGTTGTGAGGAGAACACATGGAACATAAATTTATATTGTTTGAACCTGTATTAAGTAGTAGGAATTCAGTAGCTTGTTGATAACCAAGTGGTATTTGGAATCATAGAATCCCTAGAGAGCAGAAAGAGCCCATTAAGTCCACACTGACTCTCCAAAGAGCATCCTATCCAGACCAAGACCCTCACCCTCTCTCTGTAACCCACATTTACCATGGCTAACCCACCTTATCTGTACATCCATAGACACTACGGATAATTTAGCATGACCAATCGACCTAACCTGCACATTTTTGGATTCTGGGGGAAACCAGACCAGCGAGTGGAAGCCCATGTAGACACAGGGCGAACATGCAAATTTCACACAGTCAAGGCTGGAATCTTTCTGTGTCCCTACCAGAATCTAATATAGAATCCAAAGAATCCTTACAGTGTGGAAACAGGTTATTCGGTCCAACAAGTCCACACCGACTCTCTGAAGAGCATCCCACCCAGATTCATCCTGTCCCTGTAAT